TGTGTGTGTGTGTGTGTGTGTATACAGCCACACACAGAATAAATAAATATATAAAATATTTAAAAGTTGATGAACTTTTCAATTTGTGTAGTTTCTAGCCGTTGGTGATTTTCAGGAATCTTATGTATTGAAAAAAGCCAGTGCTTCTTTTTAAAAATAATCTAACTTTGTTTCATTAGAAGATGTCAGATGATCCTAACAAACCATAAATTACAGAAAAGGTAAAATTGAATACCAACTTATGTTGCAACAGAAAAATATACATTTTTTTCTATAGTTATAACTTAGAAGAAATTGGGATACATCTGAACAAAATATTTTTGTTGAATAAGAAGTTAAGATATAAAAGATTAAGTGATTAGAAATAAAATTCATAAAGGAGATGAAATGTCAAAAGGATAGTGAGAATTTAAGACATGATTTAGAAACTTTTGAAGATGTTACATGGAGAAATGTTTGTGGGACAGAAATGTTAATGATCCTATCATTGGTTATTGCAACTACAATATTCACAATAAAATAGCCAGAATTTCTAATCTGTCCTAAAAGAAAGTTATGGAAGTGATTTTAAAGCGTTCCATATGATGAAATTAAGCGTTGCTTTTGCTGTTTTTAAAAATGATGACAGAATGATAACTCACACATAGTGAAGACTCTGAGGTATGAAGTGAAGCCTGTGTCCAGCTTCATATATCACCATGTGATTCCTCTGACTGAATGTTCTAGCCCTGCCCAAATTTTATGGATGACTAAAAAAATTTATTTAAGATTTTGTTACAGTTCTAATAAAGATCTTCTTCTGTTTTTTATAAGATGATCGTGACTATGTCAAATAAATTGCAATAAGTAACCCAGGTAGAAGAAATTACAATACTTTCTTCTTCCCTGGAATGTCAAGTTTGAACATCCATTTGCTTCTTCCATCAGAGTTAATGAGCAGTAAGTACAAACACTCACAAGGAACAGCATCCCTCAGCTTACAGGATTCCACCATAAAAACAACCAAATGGAACTATACATCTCGGTGACCTGATTTGTCAACAGACTATCAAGGCAAAATGAATAATTCACCTTTTACTGTGGCTGCTTTTAATTGAGAAATAAGTGTTTCCTTTTCAGATATGAAAAGAAAGAAGTTTTGGAGTGGTGTGTGTATGTGCGTGTGTGCGTGTGTGTGTGTGTGTGTGTGTGTGTGTGTGTGTGTGTGTGTATGTGTTTATGTTTCATGGAAGGAGTTATTCACTACTGTGAGGATATTTTCAAGGGTGGTGTCAACTATGAAATTCAAAACTGCCTCAAAGCTGAATCCTAAAGGACAAATGATAATAAACAAAGAACCCTTGATCCTCTGCCTCTTGCTAGGATTTTCTGACTACCTTTTAGAATATTTGTACAAGTTATAGTTTCTTATTCTTAAAAATATTTTAGTTAATCTATATGTAAGTATTAACAAGATCTAAATAACTTTAATTTTACAATAGTACTCAACATTTCTACACGTACCATCATGATATTTGTTAGTTAAAAAAATGCCTTTGTTGTAGAAAATGAGTGGGTTAGTTAGTTGTTAATAGCTAAAATTCTCAGGGAACAGACTCCATCTTACTTAGTAAAATTATACATATGTATAACATTTCAAGAATGATTGTTTCTTATTGCTGACACTAAGAGCCCTACTTGTTTCATAGTACAGCTTTAATACTTCTGAGTCATTCACATTCTACCTAAGTAGTAATTGGTATATGTTGGCTACAATTGTTCCTCATTATAAACAAGGAAAAATAATGATTGTAAATGTAAAATCACATTCAACCAAGCCCCTCTTTTTAAAGAGTACCAGTTCACCCAGACCTGACTGATAGCTGCATCGTTGTGATTAAAAAATAAAATATAAATTGCATTATCACTGATTTCAGTATCCTTAGAGCACTTTCTATGAACTGGGCAAGTAACACTGATTTTCACCC